GGCCCCCCCCCCCCCCGTGTTACACTTTCGGGGCCTGGGAGCTCTGTGCACACATGGTGCTCTAAGGTGCTTGGCCATTCTTTCAGTAAGCGAAACAGACTGGTGTGAATCTGCTTTATTTTGCACTGGGATTGATGGAGGAATTGCACTGATGAGGGATCCTGGTATGCCTCTGAGGGCCCTTTGAATCAGGGACTCCAGGCATGATCCCCGGGACTGAAAGGCGCTTCACTCGGCTGGATCAAGCCCAGTGTTTTTAGATATGTCAAGCTTTTCACTTGATTGTGTGAGTGGGGGCTGTGGCTCAGTGGAAGAGCCTCTGTTTGCATTGCAGAAGGTCCCAGGTTCAATCCCCGGCATCCCCCAGGACCAGGCAATAGGTGATGTGAAAGACCTCGGCCTGAGACCCTGAAGAGCCCCTGCCAGTCTGAATAGATCGTACAGAACTTTATAGACCAGTGGCCTGTTTCAGTATAAGGCAGCTTTATGGGAGGGGCTGTGGCTCAGTGGAAGAGCCAGCCCCCTAGCTAGACTCCACATGCAGCTGCTGGGTGACCTCGGGCAGGCCACAGTTCTCTCAGAGCTGCTCTCTCACGAGCAGTTCTCAAAAGAGTTATCTCAGCCCCACCTACCTCACAGGCAGTGTTCCCTCTAAGCTGAGTTAGTGTGAGCCAGCTCACAGTTTTTTAAGCCTCCAGCTCACCCATTTTTGTCTTAGCTCAGGAAGGAGGGCTCCAGAGCAAAAGTAGCCAAATTGCTCCCTCACAACTTTAATGCCAGCAGCTCACAAAGTAAAATTTTTGCTCACAAGATTCCACAGCTTAGAGGGAGCGCTGCTCACAGGGTGCCTGTTGTGGAGAAGGGAAGGGAAAGGAGATTGTGAGCCGCTCTGAGACTACCTTCAGGTAGTAAAGGGCGGGGTATAAATCTAATCTCTTCTTCTTCTCCTCTGTTTTCGGTATGGGTCACTGGGGCACCGGGGGTGAGGGACGACGTCACTTTTGATGCCACAAAAATAATAAAATAAAATAAAAATAGAAGAGCCACCCACCCACCCCGCCATGTCACCCTCCTAGCTATAGGCCTGGTCGTTATCCCTGAGCCCAACTGAATGGGATATTTCTGGCAGATGCAGGGAGCAGAGTCTCTTCCTTCTTCTCCCTCTGTCCCCCTGCAACGAGGGCCCCGGGGGCTAGCAGGAGGGCGAGGAGGAAGCGCCGGCACACCAGCTGAGAGCGGGAGAGCCAGCTCCCCCCTTCTTTCCTTCCTCTCCCTCCCCAGCTTAGCCGTCGCCCTCCCCCTGGGAGGCAAAGCGGAGAACCCACCATGGCTTCTGTCTGCTGACCCCAAAGTCCCAGCAGGAGGATCGGCGGCGGCAGGGGCAGGACCAGGCAGCCGCCTGCAGGCTCGGCTTCATTCTCATGGCTAACAGGCTGCTGTGCAGCCTGGGGAAGACTGGCTGGACTGCATGGAGCTGGGCTACAGCACCGCTGTGGTACCTGCCTGCCCCCTTCCCCTCGCACCCCTCCGGGCTCCATTGAGCAAAGTGCTGCTCTTGCCTCTGCTCAAGCAGGCAGCAGGTGAGTGGCTCTCAGGTGGGCAGCAGATGGGGATCATAGGACCATAGAGTTGGAAGGGACCTCCAGGGTCATCTAGTCCAACTGGCCAGTCAGTTCTCTCCTTGTTTGCTCTGTGCACAGCCTGCTCCTGGGAATCGGGAGAGGGGCGCACAAGAATCGGCTGTGGGGCATGCAGGGATTCGGGAGGGGGCAGTGCCCCACATGCCCCGCATTAGCTACGGCCCTGGAAAGAGCCTCTGCTTTGCATGCAGTAGGTCCCAGGTTCAATCCTCAGCATCTCCAGTTAAAAGGATCCAGCAATAGGTGATGTGAATGACCCTGGAAAGATGCTGCCAGTCTGAACAGGCAATACTGACCTTGATGGACCAATGGCCCGCTTCAATATAAGGTAGCTTCATGTGCGACTGCAGCCTTGTGTCTCAAAAAATAAAAGCTGAGATTTCTTCTGTTGCATTTGATGCCTGATACTGTATTCCAGCATCTGCTGCTGCTGCTTAGTGGCTGGTCATGCCGATTGTGGCTTTCCACAGCTCCTATGCATCTTAAATCCATCACTTTCGAATATGAGTTTATAATACAGATGCAGGGGAAAATAAACTATGGGGGGGGGGAAGTAGCATAAATATCGTACGGTGGATTTGTCAGAATTACTCATCGAATTAGCTCTCAGATTTAAGTATAACTTTTAAGAATATCGGGTCAGCCGTTTTTAATGCTTTCCTTTGTAAAAACGATTGTGGCAATTTCTTTTCACAGCCAAAAATTTCGTCTTGCACACGTGCCGGTTCATCACCCGGATCTACCCCAAAGGGACACGGACAGGCTCTTCAAACTACGACCCCCAAGAATTCTGGAGTGTCGGTTGTCAAATGGGTATGTGCCTTCAGAAAACATTGTAGAACCAAAGCCTGTTGGCAGCTAAAAAGACTAACATTTGTTCCAGCATAAGCTTCCAAGAGCCAAAACTCACGTCATCAAGGAGCATGTATTCCATCTGCAACGTTACAGGACAGCATGGTATTTTTTAAGGCAACATATGTTTTTAAGAGTTTTATTAGTTTATATATAGAAAGGGGGAAAGGGAAAAGAAGGGGGGGGGAAGAGTACAGAGTTATACATAAAAATCCAATTTAACATTCTACATGCAAATCTTCTCCTGAAAGTTTCACAACTGTTATAACCATCTTTCTTATTGTTCTTCATTTAGTCTTCGTTTCTCAGTACTTATGTTTTAACCAGTCATAAAATGCCCTCCATGGTCCCATAAATTCTTCTTCCATTTTTCCTTTTAGTATATTTGTCAATCTGTCAATTTCAGCACATTCCATAATCTTCCTTATCAACTCATTAAGCACTGGGATTTTCAATGTCCTCCATGTCACTGAAAATAAGATTCTGGTTGCTGTTATAACATGTAAAAAAAAGTATCTATGGTTCTTATCTAAGTCATCTGGTAGACAGTTTAACAGGAATATCTCTGGTTTAAAAACTATTGTAATATTCATTTATACAACATTTGTTGTGGGAGCTGAACTGTTTAGGAACTGTTTCTTTAACTTGTATTGTAAAGGACATGTTGCTTGAGACTGTCCCTTTTATATTGTGCCTGCGAATGCCTTTATGTGATTGTGAATTGCATGTTGTGAATAGCAGAAGTTACTGCTGTGAGCTTCTCTGATTGTAAGAATTTTTAAACTTAATGTTCCCTCTAAGCTGTGGAGTCTTGTGAGCAAAAATTCTACTTTGTGAGCTACTGGTATAAAAGCTGTGAGTGAGTGATTTGCCTACTGCATAAATTAGTTTGCTCTGGAGCCCTCCTTCCTGAGCGGAGACAAAAATGTGTGAGCCGGAGGCTGAAAAACGGTGAGCTAGCTCACACTAACTCAGCTTAGAGGGAACACTGCTTGAGACTATAATAATTACCCTGAAATTGCTTAGACACTTTATGATTTGATTATATAATTTATAAACATTACTCAAAAGGAAAGGGAAAAAAAATAAGTCTGGATGTATTGCAGTTAAGTGCTTGTAACGGCCATACACTCGGTGTTTCTTTGCCTCTGTCAACTCGTTTACACTGGGAGTCCCAGCAGTTCTTGTAAAACCTCCTGGAAATTGGCAAACCTAGGTTTAGGATAAAAATGGTAAGGTGTGAACCAAGGATGTCAAGAATTGCTAGGCACCTAAGGAGGCAGTAAGGCTAAAGAGACCGTGGAGCTAGAAGACTGTTGGTTTCAGGTAAGCCATGTTGGTCCAAAGAAAATCCCCAAAATTAAAAAAAAGAAGTTTTTTATTGTGTTGGGGGGAAGTATTTGTGAATTTCCTGCATTGTGCAGGGGGCTGGACTAGATGACCTGACCCTGACCTGGTGGAACTCTGCCAAATAACATCAGAGCCCTGCAGGATCTTATAAGAACATAATAAGAACATAAGAGATGCCAATGTTGGATCAGGCCAAAGGCCCAGCCAGTCCAACACTCTGTATCACACAGTGGCCAAAAATACCAGTGCCATCAGGAGGTCCAGCAGTGGGGCCAGGACATTAGAAGCCCTCCCACTGTTGCCCCCCCCAAGCACCAAGAGGACAGAGCATCACTTGCCCCAGAGCCCCTACCTATACCTTGTGGCTAATAGCCACTGATGGACCTCTGCTCCATGTGCTTATCTAATTCCCTTTTGAAGCCGTCCATGCTTGTAGCCGCCACCACTTCCTGTGGCAGTGAATTCCATGTGTTAATCACTCTTTGGGTGAAGAAGTACTTCCTCTTATCCGTTCTAACCCGACCGCTCAGCAATTTCATGGAGTGCCCACGAGTTCTTGTATTGTGAGAAAGGGAGAAAAGTACTTCTTTCTCTACCTGCTCTTTCCCATGCATAATCTTATAAACCTCGATCATGTCACCCCTCATTTGTCGTTTCTCCAAGCTAAAGAGCCCCAAGCGCCTTAACCTTTCCTCATAGGGAAAGTGTTCCAACACCTTTATCATTTGAGTTGCCCTTTTCTGCACTTTTTCCAAAACTATAATATCCTTTTTAAGGTGTGGTGAGCAGAATTGCACACAGTATTCCAAATGAGGTCGCACCATTGATTTATATAGGGGCATTATGATATTGGCTGATCTGTTTTCAATACCTGTTTTCAATACCTGTTTTCAATACCTGTTTTCAATACCTGTTTTCAATACCTGTTTTCAATACCTGTTTTCAATACCTGTTTTCAATACCTGTTTTCAATACCTGTTTTCAATACCTGTTTTCAATACCTGTTTTCAATACCTGTTTTCAATACCTGTTTTCAATACCTGTTTTCAATACCTGTTTTCAATATCTGTTTTCAATAATGTATTCTAATGTATCTTATGCAATTCCTCTGGGCCTGAAAGGCAGAGATGTTCTGCCAGGTGTTTGGTTGAGGACAGCGATGATTGACATCATAGCTGGGACCCTACCTGGGACCCCGGCTCCTGTGGAGTCTCCCCCCCCCTCCATGCAAAGCACTCACAGACCAGATGGGAAGGAACTGCCGTTTTTTTCCGCCACTTGTGTTTAATTATTGTATAATGCTCAATACGATTTTATATTGTATAGAAATATTGCTTTCTAAATTCACATGCCTTCTCCTGTGATGACATTCTGTGTCTCTGCTTCCTGTTGCAGCCCCAAATTGTCTAGTGTGAGACCAAATGGTCTGAACTACCTAATAGCCATGCCATATACCCACATTCCTTAACACCTATCTGCTAAGAGCCAGACTTGAGGGCTCCTGGCCTACATGGAACATGTCATGTACACCATGAAGAAAGCTGGAACTTGGGTCACCTGACTGCAGGCAGGCCCCCAAACCCCTAGCCAATACCCACAAGCAGCTATGGCAACCATCAATTGGGCACACACCCTGTCCGCTCGTTATTGGCTGATGGCCACAGCTAATTATGACTGGGCAGGGGACTATAATTCTGTTGGTCTGTATGGGAGAGAGCTCTCTTCGCTCTCTTCTCTCCTCCTGCTATTGCTTGTGTTATTGCATCCTGGAATGCTGACTCTTGGAACAAAGAGCAACCTTTTTGTTACTGTGGATCTGTATCTCTGAACAGACTGAGACTACATACCTGTGCAAAGATGGGATTTCTCTTCAAAATCCCTTGGTGTCTAACTGTACTATGTACCTTGGACTATCTTGGACTGTTGGATGTTCCTGAATTTGGTAACTATGAATCTGCTTAAATGTGTAGTAAGGGCAAAATAGCCATAGGCTTTGTTATTTTGTACCCTCTAGTCGTCTGAGTGCTATGCTTTGTACTGAATAAAGATCATTCATATTTGTAATTATCTCTGGTGCTGTAACTGAACTCCAAGGCTAAATCTTGTGTCTAACGCTGACCACAAAGCTACCATTGTGAGAGAGTAAATAGTGTGCACCTCTGAGTAGAGCTGCTGATGTGTAAGTCCCAGATGCCAACTAAGGGATTGAATCTCTGCCCTTAGGCGAGGCGGGGACTCTTGTGAAGAGATTCTGGTGGCAAATCGTTGTGAAGACCAGAGATAGTATAGACTGTCTCGTGGATTGTTGTTTAATGTGCTGAAATACTGGATTCCCTCGCAACCCTGGACTGAGTGGGTTAATCCTGTACATATATATATATATATATTATGGTTTTAGAATGTTGCACATCACTTAGAGCTCCAAGGTTGCGGGCATTAGGCAATTAAGAAATGTAATGTAATAAATAAATAAATAATGACCCTGGAGGTCCCTTCCACCTCTATGGTTCTATGATTCGATGTAGTTCCTTTTATTAAGAACAACCGAAATAATGAAGACCAAGATTCAAGACCAGCAGCACCTTAAAGACCAATAAGATTTCCAGGGTGTAATCTTTTGAGGGTCAAAGCTCCCTCCATCAGGTATTTAAATAAAGGAAACGAGATGAGAGCCCCCTCCGCTTGCTGAGGTAAAGGCCAGAGTCTAATCAAATGTCTCTCCAACACACGAAAAACAGAACTTGCAGGTCAGGCCTGTTTTAAATGCAGGAAAATACCAAGGTCCTTACAGTAACCCTAAAGGTAAAGGTAAAGGTTCCCTTGCTCGAAAGCCAGTTGAATCCAACTCTAGGGATGCAGTGCTCATCTCCGTTTCCAAGACAAAGAGCCAGACCTGTCCAGAGACGTTTCCGTAGTCATGTGGCCGGCATGACTAAATGCCGAGGCGCACGGAACGCTGTTACCTTCCCACCAAAGCGGTACCTATTTATCTACTTTCAATTCCTTGCTTTCGAACGGCTAGGTTGGCAGGAGATGGTGCCAGACTGAAGGCAGAAAGGCATGGTAATGAGGAAAAGTGGGATACATTTTAGGGATAACTTGACGATGCATGGGAGATCTGTGGCGAGGAATTCCAGTTTTGTTGGAAAACGGAAACAGCCACTGTTCACTCTTATAAGATCAGCACCCAAGCGCTGGAGGAGAGGGAGTGTAACCCTCAGTGCCATTTTCTCAATGTAAGCCATCTCCGCAATCCAAACGGCAATTTGCCTTCTGAAGGACTAACATACCTGTGAACTCACCTGGAGGCCAACACTGTAGCTGCCAACTCAGGGTTAGTGAATTCCTGGAGATCTGAGGTCAGCGCCTGGGGAAGACACATTTTCGGGAAGGGAAAGGGGCTAAGTTGGGATGTGAGGCCACAGAGTCCTCCCTCAGAAGCTGCCGTTTTCTCCAGGGGAACTGATCTGCAGACAGCCCCCTAGCTAGACCTTTTTTGTGGGAGGGAGCAATGAGGGGGCTTCTTGGTCGGAGGGAGGGAGGCGCCATGGCCGATGATGCAGGGAGAAAAGGGGCGGGCCAGCAACCTGTCTTCTTCCTGACAGGACGGA